ATACTCAATCAAAGATCCCATTTAAAGGAATATTTCAAACAAAATTTTGCAACAAAATATTCTTTCTTCTGTATAACATAAAAAGAGACATTTTGCAGATTGTTCAAGCTGCTCTTGTCCACATAATGAAAGTGGGAGGTGACTTAGAGCTGTAGAGACTCTTCTGAGAAGCCGAGTGACAACACAGCCTGTTGATCTCCCTTTCCTATTTACACAACCCTTTTCACTTCCATCCTGATCTAATCCATGTCAGTACTGTGGATCGGGGATAATTTGCTTTAACCCTCCACCTCCCCAGCACCACCTGTCTAGATCTGTTACAGGGTTCTTCCTACCTTACCATGTCCTAGTGTAAAGTGTATGGTTCTTTTTAGTGTAGACTATAAAGAACCATAAAAGAAAGCAGTCTATGTGACTTGTGCTCTACTGTTTATTACAAGTGAAATTATATCTTTGTGTGAGGAATACACCAAAATTTATTCACTGAAGTTCCTCCACTATAGCTGTCAAATCACACTGTCATTGACACTTGTTCTCAAATCTGGTGTTTTTAGTGTCATTGATATACTATTGTAGTTTTTGTAAATATTTTGAATTTGATTAGATTTTTACATTTTCTGATTTAATTTTAGTTAGAGTTTTAGCAATTTTGTTGTGATTTTTTTAGAATGACTGTGTTTTTTACGTTTTAGTTATTTTTAAACTAAACGAAAATGAGAAATGTTGCTTTGGCAACTTGCTGAAATAAAATAGGTTTGTTATTTTTGTATTTTTATTTTTTTTTAACTATAAAAACCCTGTCTGGGGCAATATGAATACATGAAGTTTAATTTTTTGGGTGAACTATCCTTTTAATCCCTATATTCTTATAATCACCACATTGAATTTGTCTTCTTTTTCTTTAGTTTGCCATAAAAAACCGTTTCAGGCACAGAAGCAGCAGGTATCCAAAGAGGGAACACTGGATGGACTGGGCTGATGAGAAATACGATGTATGCCACAATCCTACCATCTCTGTACACATACATGTTTAGTTTAACTTAGTTTATCTAAATGGGAACATTCCATATTGTTTTTTTATATAGCTAGTTATAAATACTATGACACACACCCTAACCCTAACAGAAATCTTCTGCATTTCATTTCAATTAAATTCAAATTAAATTGTATAGTGCTTTTCACAACACACATTGTTTCAAAGTAGCTTTACAAAAAAATGCATGTGTCTACATTACAAAGCAGAAGTTAATGTGTCCAA